GTGTCATTTATATTTTATATTTGCTACTCATTTCATTGATTTATTATAAGGAAAAACAAACTAATTTTAGACAGATGTTTAAAATGTTTTATTGACCTTTGAGAATATAAAAGGAAATTTCATATTAGTCATTTATACAACAAGCAGACTGTATTTTCTTACCCAGACTTCCGCATCTCTAAATCATTGTGACTAAGGGGCTAATTAAAACATTATTTTAAAATCCACCATTTGAATAAATTTGCTTCTAGTTATCAGTCTCCCATGAAATGTGTGTTCTCTGAAATCTACCCTCCTTAAATATTTTGAAAAATTTATACCAACAACATGCGGTTTTAATTACAATTTATAGGCTTGTGTTTAAATTGCATTTTAAACTAATTTGGTTTGTTCTTAAAGTTAATTAACTAATCGAGAGAATGTTTCTTGGTGCAATTGAGATAATAGAGCAGATGCAGAGATTTATTGGCATCTCTTGGAAGCATCCCAAACTTAGACATTTTCTTTTGTCATGCTTGACTAACCTTTAAAACCACATGCCTTCTTCAGGAGAAATGTCATTTGTATGGTTTTTAGTGGACACAAAGTGAAAGTCAGGTAGGCTATGTTGAGGTTACTGTCTTCAGATGTTCATGTGTGAGTTAGTGTAAGTAGTACTTCCTACCTGAACTCTGGCATCAGAGGCTAACATCCCACAAATAGGCATGAGAATAGGGGTTCATGCTTTTACCTTAATGACGTGGTTATTTCTTCTGCCCAGATTTACTCTCCTTCAGTTGTTCAATCCTGTTTCCTTCAGGCAATAAAGACCTATTAAAGAAGTTTCCTGATTAAAACAAGGAGCCTCTGGGGAGAAAGAAGCAAGCATTTGGTCCTTTTGCTATTGCACAGCCTTCAAGCTCACACTTTCCTGTTCATTTGCATTCAGTGGCTCAGTGAATGGTGGGGGTGATGTGGGGGGATTGTTCTCATCAGCATGCTCCTCAAGTACTGAAGAAGTAGTCAGTAAATATTTATTATGCCTGAGCTTCATGGCAGTGGTTCCCTGAAGTGCTGCAGTGGGATCATCGTGGTTAACTGTCATAACAGCATATTGTCCTAGTTAGTACTCATTTCCTATCTACAGTTGAAGCCAGGGAAGCACAGGAAAGGTAAATAAGCTGTCTAAGAACCCACTGGAAGTAAGTCTTTAACTCAGGATTTAGAATGTGGATGCAGAGTCCCCTCATTGTAGTAATCCTAGTAGCAGTGGGAGCTGTTGGTGATTTTCATTGTGCAAGCATCAGACCTGGAGCCTCAAGCCAAGTGATCTTCCACTGAATTTTACACCCTACCTAGTCATAAGAAAAAAAATAATAAGAGACATAAGTTTTCTTAGATATTATACACAATATTTCACAATTGACTATTTTCACTTACAGTGACAATGACATTATTCAAATTGTTGTTATGTCCACCAGAATGATTCTTCATAGATGTTTAATGTTTACTTCATAGGTTTGGGTTGTAGATCAGCTGGGAAAACTGACTATCATATGTAATATCCTGGATTCCAACTCCAGCATAGAAAAATAAAATTTTAACTGGTTTAAATACCTTAAATTATTATGTAAATTTATTATATTCACCCACAGCTACAAGAAAATAGCAGTATTATATCATTTATTTTCATATGTCTGGGAGAGTATGCATATGTATGAGGATGTATATGTATGTAGAGGTCAGAGGACAATCTCAGGTGTTATTCCTTGGGCCCCCTGATATCTTTTGTATGACATAGGGTCTCACATTGGCCTAGAATTTCACCAACTAGCTGACTAGCAAGATCCAGGGAGTCACCTCTCTCTGCCTCCAGTCTTGCTACAGCTAAGATTACAAGTGCACACCACTGTGCCCACCTTTTTCAAAACTATGTTTTGAGAATCTTTTACATAAGTACTGTATTTACATCATTTCCATGCCTCAGTCTTCTGCCTCCACCTCGTCCATTGGCCACTGACTCCCTCTCTAATTTATGACCCCTTCTACAATTATTATTTTTACACACACATACACAAACACACACAATTTATTCCACTTAGTATTGCTCATATGTATGTGCTTAGAGCCGACCACTTGGATTTAGACAACCTATATGGGGTTTGTCCCTAAAGAAAACTTATTCTCCCTCTCTCAGCAACAATTGATTGCCTGTAGCTCTTCAAGTATGGTTAAGACCCTGTGAAATTTCCCCTATTGTCTTGGCATGTCAACTGGTAGTGTCGTTGTGGTGGTCTTGCTCAGGCAACCGTATTGTCTGCTGATATTTAATGGGTACAGCATCTCTGTCATGTCTAGAAGACACTATATAGCAGGAGGCATCCTGGTCCTCTGGCTCTAAACAGTCTCTCTGCTTCTATTCCCTGATGTTTCCTGAACCTTATATGTTGGAGTTGTACTGAAGATATATCAACTGGGGCTGGGCACCCCATGGTCAGGTATTCTCTGAATTTTGAACAATTAAGGATCTCTGTAATAGCCTCTGTCTTCTACAAAAAGATTTTTGATGAAGGGTGAGAGCTAGCTACACTTATCTGTGGGTTTATGGATGAGTATTTAGAATAGCAGTTGTTAGAACTTATTATGGCCTTAGGAAAACAGAAATAGTAGGTTCTCCTCTAGGGTCTATAACCTCTCTAGCCAAGGGTAGTTGGCTACATTTGCAATACTGGGCATGAATTGCCTCCAATTGAATAGACCTTAACTCCCCCAAGATGAAAGTAACATCATTGGATTATCTTATCATCTAAGTCATTGTTATGGCTCATAGAGTTTATAGCTAGGTAGGACTATTGATTGCTTTTATAGATTGGCAGCTTGCATAGTATCATCTGAAACTATAAATTTGTTCTCAGCTATAAATTCGTTCAGTTCCAGCTCAACTCCTGTGTCCAAAGTATGTGATGTCTTCAGCAGTAGAATATCTTCAAGAGTTGGGGGCAACCTCTAGCAGGAATCTTAAAAGTTCTTATTAATAAAATCAAGCCTGAGGCCAGTTATTGGGGTGAATGCTGGAAGATCAGAGAAGCAGAACAAGCCACAGCTACCTCACCTCGCCAATTCCTCAGCTGATCCTTTTTCCTCAGACTGGAAGCCTCTGAGTCCTCATGTAGAATGAATCTCAGCTGAACTGCTACTGGAAAGCCTGAAAGCTTAACCAGCCAAATGCTTCTAGTTTCTGGCCCTCACGCCTTATATACCTTTCTGCTTTCAGTCATCACTCCCTGGGATTAAAGGTTCACTTTCTTGGATTAAAGGCGTGAGTCACCATGCTTGGCTGTATCCTTGAACAGATGGATTTCTGCCTCTGGAATGCTAGGATTAAAGGTGTGTGCTACCACTGCCTATCCTCTGTTTAATATTGTGGCTGTTCTGTCTCTGACCCCAGATAATTTTATTAGAGTGCACAATATTTTGGGGAGCACAATACCACCACAGCAACCAAATATACCCTCCTTTTTATACAGCTACTGAGGAACCAGCTCAGGTCCTCACACTTGTGGAACAAGTGCTTTACTGATTAAACCATTTCTCCAGCCTAGGATATTTATCACATATGTATATGTGCATCTTAGTACAAATGAAGTTGTGTGTACCCTAATTTATTTTCTTTAAATTCTCATACATGAGCATAAAAGTATGGCAAATTTTATATGTCTTGCCATGGTTTTTATATTAGTCAACTAGAGAGAAAACTAAAGAGTGACCAAGTGACTCATTTACATAGTGGGTAGAAAGCAAAGACCATTTGCTACGGGATGAGATATTCCAACCCAAATCATTATCACAGAGCCTGGCACTCAATACTTCAGTTGTTTTGATTTACTGTTTGGTTTTGCTTTTATAAACAGGGTCTTTATAGCCATGGATGCACATGAACTTCTAATCCTTCTGTTATAATTGATTATTTCAGGAATTATTCTCATAGAATTCAAATCACTTGGAAAAAAGCAGTTTTCCATTGGAAGAGTCATATAAGGTTCCCAGACAGTCAGTAGCCCAAGGGACATTTTTTACCACTAATATAGTATGTTTTGGGCATTGGCAACATCGACAAATTGTCTGCATATTTGTTTGTTGAAAGTCTAGGAATTTATAGTATTTTAATGTTGATAATTAAAGTCCCTCTATAACATAATAACCTCTTGTAATACTCATACTAGAGAAATAAAATATAAATGCTCATTATATTGCAAATGGACCATATACAGCAGAAGATTATAGATTATATATATATATACACACACACACACACACACACACACACACACACACACACACACACATATATATAGGCATGTGTTATGGGTCAAAGGAATTACTTTTATCTTCAGAAAAAGTAAATGTATTTTAATTGCCAGGGAATTATTGGTTGTAGTATTAAGGCAGCTCCACGTAGTTAAAAGGGAGATTTATTTTGTGGGGTAACTTACAAGTAAAGGGATAGGTTACAGGGTCCAGGAAAGGTGTAGCGCAGTCCAGCGGTGTTCTCTGGAGAACTCTGCTCTGTCTACCTCCAGTGTCCAGGATCCAGGAACCAAGAGAGCCGGCACATCCGGATTTTGGGTCTTAAGGGCTCCTGTCTCAGCCCCGTCTTGTAGGTGTGACAGTTACCAAAGCCTCAATGGGGGGTAGGACTTCCAGGTCAAAGCTGGAACAGCTACCCACTACAGGGAATAGTTGAATATGGTTTGGCCTAAAATTTTAAATATACTAACAAGAATATGAAAGTGAAGATATATTGGTTCTACATACAAATAACCAATTCAGAACTGAATATTTTTAGAGTCTAGAACTATAGTTATTGTGTATCTTTGATACCCTCACTTTGAAGGCAAATGCTGGAGGGTGGTAAGCTTGAGACTAGCTGTGCTGTGGGTTTTTGACTAACCCAGGTATGTAGAAAGACCCTGTTTCAAACAAAAGCAGCACAATACTTATTAATTCAATAGCATCTTTACTGAAAAGTCACAAAACAGCACATCATTGTTTCCTAAATATAGCAATAAAAATATTTAAAATTGACATATTATTGGGTGTTGCAAGCAATATATACAGAATTTTAAGTGTTCTGGGGGATGGTAATAAGAATTATAGGCAAATGCTTGAGCCTTTTCTGTAAAGGACTTGAACTCCAGCAGCTTTCAGCATCCACAGATGATTCTAGGCTCAATCCCTCATAACCTTGAAGGATGACTCTGCAAGCTGTTTTCTTCCCAGCACTGGCTTTCATCAAGCAAATCTGCTTTCATAACTGACACCAAAAGGATTATTTATAATTGAAGGACTTCATATAGTAAGTATTCTAGGGTATGCTGTAAGTCACCAAACCTAAAACCTTTCGGTTTTGCCTTTTAAAAATCAGCACCATGGCAGCTTGACCCTTTAGAGGACTTCATTATAAAGATGACTAAATGTTCCACAAAATGTTTTAAAGCTAAGGCATTTAGGTGGTAAATAGCCATCATTAACAAATTCCTGAGGGCTGCCAAAAAGCAGGTGCACAAAATAACAAGCCAAAAGGTAAGGTTGTTATGACCATTCAAATAAATGTTCCATTTTAACCCAATGCAGCACAATCTGGCTGCCTACCAGACCCCACAGGTGGGGTCAGTGTCTGGAAAGTCACTAGAATTGTGGTCCAAGATCAGAGTACATTGGAGTTAGCCTTGGGTTCTGTTATTGTAGTAGAAACAAGTTTACCAGTTTCCTGGCGACTTTTGAGCATGTTTCGATAGCCCAGTGCTGGTGCTCTCATTTCATTGGCATACACAAAGCTGACTCCCAGGGACACACATCTTAAGCATTCATGTGTGTCAGGTTTAGTTCTCAGACTGTCAGACTCACAGACCCACTAAATGATTGTGCATTGATCCAGAAGCAACGATTCTTATGCAAGGGGTGGAGGATTCGGGCATAGTATACTAGGGAATGGATTTCTATTTTGGTAACCTTTATCTTCATATTTAAATGTCTCTGTACTCTCTTCCCATCAGCTGACATTTGTTTTTTTGATGTATCTTAAAAATATCTACTACCAATCACACATGTAGAAAAAGTGTTCCATATATATTGATTTGGGTAGTCTGGCCAAAAGTAATAATGGTATATTGCCAAGGTGCACTAAACTTAAATCTAGTAAACCTAGAAAATTTATGGTTATATACACTTTAATTTATTTATAATTGGGCATAATATTTGTACCTAACATATACTTACATGAAAAATGAAAGGTATAATACATATTAAGTATATAATTACTGCCGAGTAAAAGCAATAAAAATAACTAGAACAGGAGTATTCTCAGATAGTCTGTATAGTAAAGTATTCTTCTCAGGTAATATACATTGCTGAATCTGGTGGAATCCACTCTTTAAATATAATGAAACATAGACCTTGAGATTAACTCTAACTCTAATGAAACATAAAATACACAATTATATAGAATGAAGTAAGTGGCCGAGAGAGAGAAAACATACCAAAAGACTTGTGTGAATTTAAATGAAAGATAAGTTGAGTGGCTAGATATATGGAAAGCTTACAAAAGCTATGAGACGTAAAATGACATTTTAAATCTTCATACAAGAGAGAACACTGATCACTTATAGGGAAGGTTAGTGGGGGAAAAATAGTACCACAATAATCCCATGAGTAAAAGCTATAGAACAGACATACTTGATGCCTTCTAATGGATTTGCATACATGAGTACTGACAATGCTGTCTAAATACATGGTATAATTATTCAGCATCCTTACAGTTTTAACATGAAAGTTCAGTTGACTGTCCCATGAGTGCTACTTATGAGACTTCCTTATGGTGTGATTATGATATAATTCAGCCCTTAAGTACATATCTGAGCCAAAAGGCTCCATTTTATAGACTCATTATTACCAGCTTGAGTAGGAACATCACAATTATCATCTGGAAATTTGAGATGGTATTTTAAAAGTGTAAGTGAGTAATGATAATATATTCATTTTTGTAGCAGAAAATATCGCCGAGCCTTGATTTTTACTCATTTTGAAGATGCTACATTCCATTGAATCTTTTGGTTTATCCATCCTGACAATCCAACAGACTTGGAAGTACTTGTTATTTTGAGAGCAGATAGGTTCAATTATCTCTCATTGCTAATGAGACCATAAAAGAGAAAAATAAAAAGACAAAACACAGGGGGATGAAATGAACACTTTTTCAATGAATTGAGAATCTAGAAACATAGTTAATGGGCCTCTGAGATAATTCATTAAAGATAAGCATTGGGCCCTTTTTCACATATTATTGTCAAGTGTTCTTATACTGCCCCTGTCCAGAGTTCATTCACAATAAAAACACAGACTATTAAATTTTCAGTTGTGTGTTAGAAAGATGCCTTGCAAGCATGAGACTGCGTTTAGATACCAACAGCCACATCTTAAGTCAGGAGTCCCACAGAGGCCTGTAACTCCAACTCTAAGAGATCTGATGCCCCCTTGTAACGTTCATATACACATGAACATATACTCTCAAATATATATGTGCACATACATTCAAAAATGAGTACACACATACATTCAAATATATATGCATATCAACACATGCATAAATATGAAGGAATAATTTGAAAAGGAGTTAAATATTCAACGCATTTCACCTTTTTTTCCTTTAGAAATGGTGCAGGTACTGAGTTTTTAATGACTTCTTTATTGTACATTGCCCATAGAAGAAGTTAAATATTAGTCTATATTACCGAGTGCTCTGCCTATGGCGATATCATATATCAGCTGTGCTCTCAGCTAAGTTGAAGGAATTAATCACCTGCCATGCTACAGCATAAGAAGTACTAGTGGAATTCCTGTAGGAATCAGGAAAATGATATCAGAGAAAAATATAGTCTCGTATAAGGTAATATAAAACAGAAATAGCAACAAAAGACTAAATATAAAATGTTTTTTTTATATAATATGCTTCTGAAAGAGAAAATGATAGCTTAAAAGAAAACCACAATGTACTATGAATTTTAAGAACTGTAACCAGTCTAGGACAACACTAACAAAAATACTAAGTAGGTAACATTTAAAATATGTGGTCAAAGTGTTTTTATACCCTATAGGAAGTGATGTAATACCAATTCACGTAGGTTTTTCTAAGCTAAAGGTACCGATTCTATACATTAAATTATAAAAAATAATACAACAATTTCAAAAATAGCAAATGTGCAAAAATGTTTATTACTGATATGAAAACAAAGGAGTTCAAATGGATCATAAAAATGTAATCCAATAATAGGAAAGAAAGTAAAAGATAATGAAACAAATATAAATGGACAAATAGATCAGAGAACAAGGCATAACAGAACTTGATCAATAGAGGCATTAAATGTACACACCTAAAGACACCATGGGCTTAGATTTCATAACAGCGTTCAGAGCAGGTGAGATGCTTCAGCAGGCCAAGGTAACTGCCACGGAGCCTGACAATCTGCATTTGATCCCAGGAACCATTAGAAGGAAGAAAACAGCTCTTGTATCAAGTTGTTCTCTGGCCTCCACATGTGTACCACTCTACAAACAGAAAAATAAATAAATAAATAAATAAATAAATATAACTTTTAAGCAGCCATAATAATCATGCAGTAGCCCTAGAAATACACAACAGGGAGACTTTTATGAAAATCATCCAATAATGCAAGAATTTACTAATGCACTTCCAAATAAGATATGGTTCAACAATGTTTAAATAATAGAAGACATTTTTATAATGATAAAAAGATAATGATAAAAAGGAAACAAAATTTTGTAACAGTAGATGTAGAAATGTTTAAATAGAATCTTATAACATTAAACACCTATATTAGAAAAAATAGGTAAATTCTCAAATCAATTATCACAGTTTCTTGATTAATAAATTGCAAAAAGTATGTAAAGAACAAATGGCCCTGAAAGTAATCAAATGATGAAAATAATAAATCACAAGTAAAGTGAAGTAACACAAAAAGATGATTCTCTAGAAAACATTTCAATCCACGGGCCTCTTGACTGAAGAACGACAATGAAGGAGAAAACACAGATTATTATTGTAAAGAACGTGGAGTGATGTGACCAACGCTTACTCAGAAGACAAAGGGACAAGTAACATAATTAACACATGTCTGTCAGGAAATGCCATTGCGGAGATGCAGTGAATACACTTTGTAAAGATATCAACTACTTGTTACGGAAAATATAATACAAATGAAGCAGCCTTGCTTCTTTCTGCGAAGTTGAATTTACAGGAGGAAAAGAAATGACAAAGAGAAACATTTAACCTGTAACTCCAACTCCAGGGGCTCTAAAGGGTCTAGCTTCCATGGCCACTCATGTGTACATATCCCCACACGCCCCTACACATATACCCACCCACAGACAAACACAAACACACTCATACACACACACATACCCCCCCCCCACACACATACCCACCCACATACAAACACAGACACACACACATACACATACAAATACAAACACAGACACACAAGAAATAGATGATGATAGATAGATGATAGATAGATAGATAGATAGATAGATAGATAGATAGATAGATAGATAGATGATAGATTCATTAAAAAAAAAAAACTAGACCAAACTAGAGGATTTAAAGAAACTGTAGGATTCAAGGAAAATAGGCAGAACCAGCTGGACTGTCTATGGCAATAGCAAATGGCTGGAAAGTGAATTTAGTAATGTTACCATTTGGAAGAGCAGATCTTACTACACTTAAATAAAATAATTATACCACTTGAAACCTGATTTAAGTGGATTTATTTCTCTTTTCATGTGAGATAAACTATGAATTATTATTTTAACTGGTGGGAATTCATTTTGAAGAGAAAGTGCTAGACCGTATTTGGCTTGTCCAGAGTAAGTTGACCAAGCACAAGGTCCTGGGTTCAGACACAAGCTCCGAACCAAATAAGAAAAACAAAACAAGAAAATGTGTAGCACATTAACATGATAACACATATAACAGTAGCAAAACTACAAAGTGGTTCTGAGAAAAATTTATCTCAAAATGTCTAGCCATTACTAAGGAAATTAAAAGAGGTTAATTACACTGAGATAGAAACCATGTGTTCCTTAGACTAAGACAGTCAGTACTGTCTAGATATCTAGTCACCCAAAGCTGACTTGTAAATTGTTCTCCAAACACAAATCCAGACTGGCCAGGTCCTCCAGTCTCAAATGAAATGCACTGTCTGGTTTTGGCTAATTCTGTCTCTTTGTATTTGTCCCTGTCTCTCTGCCTCCTCTCCATTTGTTTCCCTTTTTCTTCTTCCCCTCACCTTTTCATGCTCTCCTCCACATCCCTGTTTCTTAATGTTTCTTTCTATTGTAATCATCGTCTCTCAATCTGCCATTCTTTGTTTCTCTTTTTCTGTTTCTCCAGATGTTGTTCTCTGTGTGTTTCTTCTCTTTTCCTCCCTCTGTTCTTCTCCCTCCCCTTCTTCCTAGTCCATTATCATCAGCATTAATCATTCCCTCTCTTGTGCAGCTGTATCTTCAATCGGCTGTCGACTAGGACATTTCTAAAAACATAACCATAGTGCTTTCACACATTAGTATCTTTAAATTGAAAACCTCTCTCCACTCTATTCAACCTCTCAGTGCCTGCATTCTTGCTCCCCTGGCTCCTAATCACTAGCCAGGATGTTGCAGCTATCTACACCCTTAGTTCTTATGAGGATCAACAATATTTTCCTGCCTGTTGAATCGAGTCATTCTCCTCTTTGTTCTTCTTTAAAGGTAATTAGCTTTTGTCATTACTGGTCACTTCTTTGTGGACAGAATTGTAAAGGCCCACTTCTAGAAAACATACTTTCTCTTCCTTCCTTTGTCACTGTCCATTACAATGTTTGATTGATGTCAATCTCTGTCTGGCCTCACATAAACATGCACATGCACTCATGAACAAATTGACACATACAAACACACAGACATATTCAGATACATAGCTAGCCAAACACACACACACACACACACACACACACACACACACACACACACACACACACACACACACAAAGATGGGAAGAAACTCATGCCATACATTGTCTGCCTGGCTGATGCTGCTTTCAAATGAACAGACCTTCCGAATCTTCTGGAAAGACTGACCAGTAACCTTAGTTGTATCTACAAAACAGAAGTAGAGGAAGGATACAGACTGCTTTGTCTGCCTCCTTTTGTCTTGGTTCTTGGATCTAAGTTCACATCAAAATGAACTCACTTTTGATGACCATCTGAGTTACATTTCTAGGCATTCAGCTACTTCTCGGTAAGCCATGCCCTGTGCTCCAGAGTGAGCATAATAAAGAACGGTAGACCTGTGGAATGAGAGCCAAGGAGCCAATCAAAACAGATAGAAGGAAAAACTCAAGGGATCCTGAGAATAAAAACATGATTGATGTCCAGTGCTGTACATCAAGCACTTGATATGTTTGGATCTGTTTCTGAGTTCTCTCTTCTAGTTAATTACTCTATCCACCCCAGGGACAATGCTCAACTATTTTAATTACCATAGATTTATGGTGAAATGTCTGTTACATAGTAAGCCTTAATTTTTATGGACTTTTATAAACATTTTAGAATCAGTCTTTCAAATTGCAGTAGAGAAAAAGTACTTTATGTTCATGGTTCTCACAGTGTCCTATTTATAAACTGTGAAAAAAATAACAGCTTAATGTAACAGTACCTTTCTATCAAATATGGTGCTTTAGGATTTTCAAAATCATCTGAATATTCAAGTTGTATTTATTCTTCTGGGTTCTGCTATTAATTTGAAGGGTTTTCTTTAACTTCCATTTATTAGTTTCTTATGCAGATAGATTAGAAGTCCTTATATCCATAGCACCATCTTTACTAATCAAATTTGTGGCATCTACATTATGCCTTCAGTGTTTTATCGTTACTCTTTTGAACTTCCTATCTATATGATCCTCACTGCATAGGAGTCTTTCTTTATGCTCTCTAAGCCTGTTACATCCCCTAAGTTTCTTCTAAATATTCCATTTGAGATTTTCAGCATGGTGTTGAGTGAATGCACTGATGGGAATCATCTTTACTTATTTCTCTATTCACTAGATCTGATGACTTCTAATGCTTCACAATTAAAGGTGATTTTAATAAGTACACTGTATTAGGCAAGGCGACTCCTTTTGATTCAGAGTCTGATTTTCATGAATTGATTATTAATTGTATCAAATGATCTTGAATATGTTTACATGATCAAATATTTCCCATTTGGCCTGTTAATGTGATGAATTACATTATTCAGTTTTCTAATATTTGAATGCTTTTCTGTAAGAACTCTACATTTTCATGGTGAATTAAAGAACATGTTTCTGTTGGAGTCAGTTCTTGAAAATTTTCATCTATTTGAATGTTAACTAGATTCTTTTTATTTGTTTCATCAAGACTCTTATGTACACAAACCTCCAGACTTCTTATTGCATCCTGGCTAGTTCTATGCTTGTATGATTTTTATCCATTTATACTGCCATGCACATTCTCAGTGCTTTATTTATATTTATACTGAAGCCCATGATTTTTCCCCTTTGCTATGGATATCTAATCTTAAAGCGAAATATCCATTCTGTTTATTACTTTTAGTATATTTTAATGGTTTTGACTGTTAATTTGACATAGTCTAGAATCACCTAGGAAGAGTGTCTCACTGAGGGATGATATAGATCAGGTTGGTCTATGAGGATCGTCTTGATTGATACGGGAAGAGCCAGCCCACTGTAGGCAGCACCATTCCTTATATGTGATTTTGGAGTGTATAAACATGTCAAGGGGCCTGAACAAAAGTGAGCATGTATATACTTACTTTTTCTCTACTCTTGACTTTGGATGTGACTAGCTGCTTCAAGTTCCTGCCTTCACTTTCCCACAGTGATGGACTATAATCTGGGATTATAATCCAAATAAACTTCTTTCCCTTTAAATAGTTTTTGTCTGGGTATATTATCACAGAGACAGAACTGAAAATAAAACCCTAGTGTATTTTTAACTTATTTTAATGTTTGACAATATCATATTTATATACAATATACCATGATTCCTTTCACCACTCACTACCAATTCTCAGCCCCTTCTTAGCCACACCAGATCTCTTCTTGCCCCTAACTGGTTGCCCTTTACCTGCTTGGGTCCTAGTATATATAAACTACACATCTATGAAGCACCATATTGCTTTGATAGCTCTAATGATGCCTAATAGAGTGTTTAAGAGTAAACACATTTATCTCTTCATACTTGTTAAATCTTTGTCACTATTTTTATTGCTTTAAACTTTGGTTCACTTTCATACACAATGTTACTTTATTTCTTATTCTTTCATGATGGTTTCTACCCCCTTTTAGATCTCTCTGGCAAACTTGACATATCTTTCAGATGTCTTATTATTGCGTGTTTTGATTATAAAAGTCTGTCATCCATTATGTCAACTTGTTCTTATTCTTGGTGAATGATTTTTCTAACTTTATAATTTTTATAAGATTATTTTCAATAAGGAATAAATTCTT